TCACTCATTCAAATATTCATAGGGTAGCTATTTTTCCTGTTTCAAAATGTACATGTTGGCATAGTGGATTTCTTTATAATATTCTAACTTTGAAAGGAGAAACTAGAATGATAACATATGGATTGTGGAATAGAGGTGAATGACTGTAATGAGAGGTGAGAAGAAGACTATGGCAAGTGGGAGAATCTGCAAACTGTGCTGGGGGTGTAGCACTTGGGCAAACCCTTAAAGGATGAAGATAGTTTGAATAGACATTTGAGATATATGAAATTCTGTAGGTCAGGAATGAGCACAATGTTGAGCAAGGGACATAAATGAAAAGGAAAAAATAAATCCTTGAAGAGTGAATTTTGACTGTGTAAGAGTAAGATTCCAGAGAGATTTGAAAGCAAACACTTTAGGGTTGTGCAAGCACTCAGGGAAACATTATACTTCCATGGTTATGGAAAATCACAGTAAGAGCAGAATTTCTGAGGAATGAGAATAACATGAGGGATATCATAGAGGAGTCTCAGAGAGTTTAATCTGGAAAGCCAGTATAGGCACTCTTTTATAAGGCAGCCATGAAGGTTAATGATCACAGGAAAGGGGAATATGGGAGTGGGATAAGTCTAAGAGTTAGTTACCTTGACTCTCACTGAAGAGAACTTGGTATGCAATGTGAGGTTTGTGTACGCCATGACTCTGCCAGGACAAATGTCCTCAAGCAACCTGCCACACTCTAGAATAACTCAAATAGGTGAACGTTCATTCTATTTTTCTAATCTTATGCTAAGTACAGATCTAGGAATAATTTAAATAAAAATTATCTAACAACTAAGAGTTTTAATGGTAGTTGTAGTTAGTTTGTTTTCATATGTTATTGCACTTTTAAAGTTGTGTATGTGTTTATGAATATAATATTCTGGAGTATAACAACAGAATATTAAAATCTCACATCTTTCCATGTCTATGCTGCAGTTGTAGCTGTGAAATATTTCTGATGATATAGAATGTACTGTCACACTTTGCCTTTCATATACCAACATTTCAGTTTGTTCCCCATGTCAGCAGTGAAAGGCATGCCATCATACAATTTTTGTCTTGGATTTGGCAGGATGATGAGGCATATTTGCTCACTATGTATTTAGAAAAGACATTAGGAACTGATCAAAGTTATCTCTTCTGCTAGCAGATGTAAAATGATGGATACTTCTTGTCTACTAAACTTTTCAATCTTCCTTATGGTGTCAAAAGGCATTCCACTGTATGTCTCAGAAAGTAGGATTTGGCCTTCATATTTAAAGGGATGAACGAAGAGTCCCCCTTTAATTTCTTCTTCTTTGTATTTTAGTACAGGATCTACAGGGTCTACGGGGTCTCACTACACTGATGGGACTCATAGTGATCCGCCTGTGTTCAGCCTCCCAAGAGTTGGGATTATAGGTGTACACCACTATGCCCAGTCTCAGTCTCCATCTCAGCACATCCCAAGGGCAGGGCTGGCACAACACGCCAGGGATAAAACCCTGGCTGCTTGGCTCTGCCTAAGCAGGTGCTTTAATCTGCTGAGATATTTGGCTGGCCCAAGTGTCTCCTGTTTTCTGTAAAACTCTTTAAAACTGCAAATCTCACCTGGATGTAGCCAATTTAGTTTTTGTTTGGACTCATTATTATTTATACTACCTTGTATTGGTTAGCTTTTGGGCACTGGCACAAAATACACCTGTGTTTTAAAGGAAGAGAGGTGTGTTTTGGCTCATAGTTTTCAAGGTTCAGTCCATGGTTAGCTGGCTAAAAGGAAGAAACTGCATGCTGAATTCATGCTGCTAGGAAGCTGAGCTGACAACAGTGGCAGAGAGGACAAAGTCCGGGAGCAAATATAGTAGACAAGGTCACCCTCTCTGACTCTATGACTCCTGCCCCAAACACTGGAAACTGCCTTATGAATCCTCTAGAAGGCTCTCAAGCCCACCATGTTAATAGCGGGGCATAACTGTCAAAATGTTATCCAGAAACAGCTATTTCCCTTCCTCTACTGTTTCTGTGAAATTTTCAAACCTCAGGATGGGCTGCACTGTTGTTCTTGCTCTTCATCCTACAAGGAATGGCACTACAGCAGCATCAGGAGCCAAGGACATTCTTCTTCTGAGTGCTTCATGGGTGGGGCACTTCTAAGGTAGGTAAATATGGGAAATAAAGATTCTCCACTCAACTTGCACAGGCAAATTTCTCTGTCCTTCCAAACTTGGTAGAGAAGTGCCCATAACATGTACTAAGCTAAGAAGTACTCCTCTTATGGTGAGAAGTACCTCTTCTTTGTACTGACTGACACAACTGTAATTAAAATTTTGTTTAAAGTCATGTTTCTTGTTGGATTAGAGGCTCCAGAAAGTATTGTCTCTTTTTTCCATTTATTTTGTCCCTGTGTCAGCACTCAATCCATATGGGAATTTATTGAATATAGTGGCATCTTACAATGACAGTAAGTAGATTTTACGTATCTACTTTATTCTAATGCCATAACTTTTTAAAGTTTGTTTGTGAATATCAAAATGAGTACAGCTAAACAAAAATTTATTGGATTTAATGTCTATATATCGCATAGTAAGCACATATAGCAGTTCAACATGATAAATTTAATATCATACTATCATCTGAATAAATGCACAAATAGTATAAATTTTTGTTATTATAGTATGGTATAATTACAGTAAGGTAAATTTATAATCACATTCTATCAAACTGAGTATAAACATACCTAAACATATACTGTAAAGATATGAATTTTTACCACAAAAATATTTAAATCATTCTGCAAACAGTCATTAGGTATTGAACATCTACTGAACAAATTCTCTGAGATTAGTGCTGTACTTGGTGCTGAGGGCACCTCAGAAGTAATATTAGGAATGATTCTGTGTAAAGATGGATTCTATTGAGGGAAGTGAGACTTGTAAAACAACAGCCATAACTATTTTGCACAAATTAAACAGTGATTTATGCTGCATAGACAGTATTTGTTATGGGTAGAAAAAGGGGATTCAGGGGACATGAAGCTTAGCAAAGTCAGTGGAAATTTCTAGGATCCATGGTGCCCAAGAAGGGCCTAGTGTCATGGGAGAGCCTTGGAGGTAAGATGTGGAGAACATAGCAGGCAAAAATCGCCAGCCATGTTGAAGAAATAAGAGTTACAAAGTATTTATTGAAGATTAAGCATAAACAAATTATAGTACCTTCTCTGTTGAGGTGAAGCTGAAAATAATATTTAGTTGAAGAGTGCTGCCCATGAATGACTGTATTTGGAAGTAGTCATGAAATATAAGAGTACCAACCTGGAAATAGAGACCATCAGATGCTCTTGAAGAGACACAA